ACACACACACACACACACACACACACACACACACACACACACACCAGAAGAGGGAATCTGATACTATTACAGATGGTTGTGAGTCATCATACGGGTGCTGAGAATTGAACTCAGGACTTCTGGATGAGCAATCGGGGCTCTTAACTACCCCACACCTATTTTTAATTTGAGTTTCAGTGGATCTAGCACCATCTTCTGTCCTTTAATGGTACTAGACATGTACATAATATTCTTAGGGACATTCAAACAATACATACATTCATTTTTTTAAAAGAACAGTTCATAGTATAAAGACACATATATTCTCTATTCACTTGTATGCTTTTTACTATAGAGGGACTATTTTTCTATGCTTAGTGTATGTAGAGATTTTATTGTAATTACTATCAAATATAAACATTGAGTTTTCTTGATTTATGAATTTGTATACCAATATTATTAGCATTCTCACCTGGGCATTGGTTCATTAGCATATTAAGGCCTGTTCAAGGCTAGGCTCCAATATGAAGTGCTGGACAGACTGCCTGGGGCTTGTTTCTGAGAACTACTACTTTTTTTTTTTTTATCAGTGCAAAGTCAGGCTCACAGTGATCCAAGTTACAGAAGATGCTTTTAGTTATGTTTCTAACAGATTGAGACCTCTTAATGTTAGGGTTAAGGGTAGGTTTATGCAATGGTTTTGGTTAGTGCTAGTGTTAGTATTGTGCTTGTTGCTAGGGTTACACTTAGGATTAACATTAGTACTATAGTTATGGTCAATCTTTTGCTTAGTTTAATGTTAGAACTATTGCTTAGGTTAGAGCTGTGATAAGATTAGACAAAATGTTACGGATAGGAGTAAAGTTTTGAGTTCAAGGTTAGGTTTGTTAGGTTTAGGTTAAGTGTAGGATTTCTGGTTATAGGTTATGTCATGGGTAAGTGTAGGATTAGGGCTAGGACAAAATCTGCTGTGGTAATTAAGGATGGAAAAGACAATTTTGTGTTGAGCTGCAGCTAATCAGGCAAAGTACAGACACCTGATCCATGGGTGCAGCTAACAAAACAAAAATCAGAAGAAAACATAGAGGCTGAGCAAAGCTGTGTCCTGTTAAGAAAAGCACAGAAACTTTCATCTAAGTGTACAACTGATCATGAAAGCAGAAGATAACAATTCCATAGATACACTAATTAAAAAAGGAAAACAGCTGCATCCAGGATCTAGCTAATCATGAAAAATTGTGTAAAAGCTATTACTAAAGCATAACCTCAGAAAAGCAGCACATACCTGTGTCTAGTGCTCAAAAGAGTCAGAAAAAGTTTAGACACCTGTGCACAGAGGCACAGGGATGTTAGATAGTGCAAACCTCTGTGCTCATGTTGCAGACAAGCTGTATAAGGATACACACCTGTGCCCATCATGCAGTAAAGACGGATGTACCACTACTGCAATACAGATGAATGCTCTGGGACATCAGTGCTCATTGTTGTACTAGTAAAGTAGCACATATGCACATGGATGTTTTCATTCATTTTGAAACATGGGTATATTGGTGCAGAAGAACATGACACACTGATGTCCTAGTTTCACCTAGTACATGGATATGCATGAGGAACAGAGTACAAGGATGTGCACGTGTACATGAAAACACGTGTAGCAGTGCACATGGAAGTAGTAGTATATAACTGCACTTAGACGCAGACAGTGCCCATCAGTACATATGGTGCACAGTACATATTAAAGCAATACACATGGAGGTATTGGATCTACAGTGTACAGTAGTGTGCAAGTGAAGCAATATGAACTGATATACAATTACAATACTTGACTGGGATGTATTTGTATGGCAGCATATATGAATGTGATAGTACAGTAGTATATAATTATACAGTTATGTAGACTGGACAAGGATGAACAGTGTGGCCACATGCATGGACATATTACTATAGCAAAGAGGTGCTCAAGGGCATAAGTACAGATAGAAGTATGTCTGTATGTACGTACACATACAAATTACTACACATGAAATTACTCAAACACCATTTCACACGGATGCAATAGTAGAACAGTGCTTGCTGACATATGAGCAAGAAGTGCACACGATTGTGATTGTGCCAGTGTAGCAGCACACTTGCATGTACTAGTACAGCAATACACATGGATGGACTAGTAAAGAACTGCATATAGGTTTACTATTGGAGTAGTGATTATGGATGTACAATTTACACATGGATGTCCTATTATAGATGTATATGCACTTGTGCTGTGTATTCACATGTACTGTGTACACAAAAACATGTAAGTTAGTGTTATAGCAGGACAAATGGACAAAATAGCAAACCAACTCTCATGGAAATACTAGACAGGAGCACACATGGATATGTGAGAACCATAATGTTCTTAAAAGCAATAGTGTGGCAGTTCACATGTATGTCTCACTAAAGCACTGCCTATCAGTGTCTGAATAAAAATAGTTGTCCTACTACTGGAGCAAAAACCAATGCACATGTACTGAAAAAAAAGGGGCATAGTTGTATCACAGTTCATATGCCTATGTTAAACAGCAGTGTTGTAGGAGCAGATTGTGAACATCAATGAACTGGCTGAGCAATGCACCTCCGAATACACATACATATATCATATGTGTATTTACTAGTAAACAAGTGCAAATATTTACTCATAACATGATTACTCAAATAATAAAGACTTACTGCCTTGCACATGGACACAGATATGCTTGTGCAGAAGTAGAGAAGTGCACGCTGATGTTCTACTAATAATGGGTCCATGTGTTTCCTGGTAAATATGAACATATGGATATCCATGAACAGAAGTCCATACAGGTTTATTAGTACAAAAGCACACATGGAAATCAAGTAAAGAAGTGTACAAAGAACCATTTATCACCTGAGATATCACATATATTTTCTCAAAGTAGTACATGTAAGAGTACAGCTGTACTCAGATGTACTGTTATAGAAATACAAATGTGATGAATCCTACAGCAGGACTTACAGATGTGTGACCTCACCTTAAGCTCACCACAGGAGGGCTTAAGCCTCTGTTTGATGTTCTTAAGGGAGATGCAAATCCTAATTCTGATTAACTAATTCTCCTCATTAACTTATGAAGAATGCATAAAGTAGAGAAAGCTCTTATACATTATACAGACTGATCAATTGTCAGCTTTTTTACAGCAGTTCTTTAGCAAAAGAAACCATTAATGTGGATTCATCTTTCTTCATCTCCAAAGAAAGTTTTAACACCCTTTTCTAAAGCTGTTGCTGTATTGATAC